CCTCCCCCCACCCCCGTCCCCTTTTCTCCTCGAGTCAGCATGAGCTCCTCCGCTTCGCGATCCAACTCGAGCTCGCCACCCACCAGCCCGAAGAATGGCAACGGGCGTCACAAGGCCGTGTTCGCGGCCGGCCGGCCGCCCTGGTACACCCGCGACGGCGCGGTCAAGGTGCGCGGCGCCCCCGGCAGCCCCGCCTCCTTGTCCTCCCTTCCTGGCTGACCCCCGTGTCTCCTGCTTGCTTCATTGCGCCCGGGGCGCCGATGCGCACATGCACACGCCCATGCGCGCAGGATGCTTTCATGATCTCGTGCGCCGGTGGCAGTGCCTCCGGCAAGACCACCGTGGCGCAGGCCATCATCAGCCGGCTGAATGTTCCCTGGGTGGCGGTTATCTCGATGGATTCCTTCTACCGGAACCTCACGCCGGAGCAAATCGCCGCGGCCAACCGCAACGATCACGACTTCGATTGCCCGGGTACGTGCTGCCATGGCTGTTGTTGCGCGTGCGCGTGCGCGTGCGCGTGCGCGTGCGCGTGCGCGTGCGCGTGCGCGTGCGCGTGCGCGTGCGCGTGTGCACATGCACCGGCGCCGGCGCCGGCTCCGACTCTGCGGGTCGCTGCTCCCGACTGACTCCGAGGTTTTCCCGCCCTCGCCCCGGTTGGCACCTGGGTGTGTCTGTGTGCGTGCGGGCGCGCACACATACAGAGGCCTTCGATATCGATCTGGTGTACGAAAGTCTGAAGAAGATCAAGAAGGGCCAGCCGGTGGACATCCCGGTCTATGACTTCACCACGCACTCCCGGTACGCGGCGCCCCATGCCACCGGCATGTCAAGCATCGCCGTCCTGTGCGCGCACATGCTCACCTCTTCCCTCGCCGTCTCTCCGGTCTTTCCTCTCCCTCCCTCCTCTCTCTCTCTCTCTCTCTTTCTTGCCCCTCCTCTCCCACGCACGCACGCACGCACGCACGCACGCACGCACGCACGCTCCACACAGCCGCCCCGAGAAGCAGGTCATCTACGGCGCCAATGTCGTGGTCTTCGAGGGCATCTTCGGCCTGTACGACGAGCGCATCAACGAGCTGATGGACCTGCGCATCTTTGTCGACACGGATGACGATGTGCGCCTGGCCCGGCGCCTGAAGCGTGACATCTCCGAGCGCGGGCGCGACATCAACGGCGTCATCGAGCAGTACAACCGCTTCGTCAAGCCGTCGTACGACAACTACATCCGGCCGGCCATCAAGAATGCGCATGTCATCATCCCGCGCGGCGGGGACAACTACATCGCCATCGACCTGATCGCCAAGCACATCCAGCACCAGCTGGAAACCCGGGGGTTCAACTTCCGCCAGGAGCTGGGCCGGATCTCCCCCTGCAGCAAGCTGCCGGACACCATCAAGGTCATGGAGAGCCGGCCCCAGCTGCGGGCCATGCACACGCTCATCCGCAACCGGGACACCCCGCGGGATGATTTTGTTTTCTACTCCGAGCGCCTGTTCCGGCTGCTGATTGAGGAGGCCCTGTCGCATCTGCCCTTCACCCCGTGTGACATTGTCACCCCGACCGGCGGCACGTACCATGGTGTGCACTCGGTCAGCAACATCTCGGCCGTGTCGATTGTCCGCGCCGGGACCACCATCGAGCCGGCGGCGCAGGCCGTGCTGAAGGACGTCAAGATCGGCAAGATCCTCATCCAGTCGGACATCTACACCAATGAGCCGCAGCTGCACTTCTGCAGCCTGCCGCGGTCCATCGCCTCCAGCCAGGTTCTGCTGATGGATGCCACCATTGCCACCGGCGCCGCGGCGCTCATGGCCATTCGTGTGTTGCTGGATCACAATGTCCCGGAGGAGAACATCATCTTCGTGTCGCTGATCGCCGCGCCGCATGGGCTGCACACCATCGCCGCCGCGCACCCGAAGGTGACGGTCGTCGTGTCCGAGGTCGATGAGACCCTCAATGAGGCGTACCACATCATCCCGGGTGTGGGGAACTTTGGCGACCGTTTCTTCGGCACCGACTAGGCACCCGTGCGCATGGGGGTCTTTGTGTGTGTGTGTGTGTGTGTGTGCATGCGTGCGGCGCGCGGCGCACATTGGCATGAGGTGCTGTCGGAGGGGGGCCTAGGGGGGCGGGGTGACACGATGGTGGCACCGCGCGGAGCAGCCGCCCGAGGACGGGCACATGCCATGCGTTTGCCTCTCACATCCCCTCCCTTGGTGTGTGTGTATGTGCGTGCTGGGCCAGGCGTCGAATGCACATACATGCATGCCCATTCTTCTGGTCTTCCCTCTTCTCGGTGGTCTTTCCCCGCAGCCTGATTGCGCGGGGGAAGAGAGGGGGGGCGAGGGGGAGTGGGCGACGCCTCTCCCGCCGCGTCCCCCATCTTGTCCCGAATGGCTGCTGCCGCTGCCAAGGGGGCGGGGGGGGGGGGGGGGAGATGCGCATGGGTGCACGCCCTTGTCCGGCTGGCACTGCGGCGGCGCCTCCCTCCTCCCTTTCTCCTCTCTCTCCCCTCCCCCCTCTCTCTCCCCTCCCCCCTCTCCCGGCTCCATCTGACCAGACGAAAACCCCAAACCCAAGAAAGAAAAGGCCTCACCATTAGATTTTTCACATACACGCGCGCCCTCCCGCCTCCTCTCCGTACTTGGCAACGCCAAGGCCGGGGGCGGGAGGGGAGCCAAAAAAAAAAAAGAAGACAAAAAGAGAAAGAGTACACACGCGCATGGGAAGGGAGCAGGGCCTCACTCACACCTGTGCGCAACCACATCTGCGTGCGCATCCCGAATAAATTCCCAAAGCCAAAGGTGTGTGTGTGTGTGTGTG